CCCTCTGTCTGTCCTCCACCTCTCTCTCTCCGTCTCTCAACTAACTAAATCTTTAAAAAATAAAACTTTAAAAAATTTAAAAATGTGAGAGAATAATTCTGTTGTTTTAAGCCACCCAGTTGTACTTATTACAGCGGCTCTAGGAAACTAAGTACTTACATTTTTTTTTAACTTTTCAAGACTGACAGAGTGTTTTCCAAAGTGATCACACCATTGTACACTCCTTTCAGCAGTGTGTAAGAGTTCCAGTTTCTCTTCAACCTTGCTGACACTTAGTATAGTCAGCCTTTTCAATTTTAACCACTCCATGTGGTATAATTTGCATTTCCTTAATGCCTAATGGTCTTGAAAATCATTTCATACATTTATTTCCCATCTGAATATCTTCTTGGGTGAAGTGTCTGTTCTCATCTTTTGCCTATTTGTTACTTGGATTATTTTCTTATTATTGAGTTTGAAGATTCTTTACATGGTCTAGATACAATTTCTTTGTATGATTTGCAAATATTTTGTCCCAGTTGGTGGTTTTCATTTTCATTTTATCAACTGTACCTTTTGAGGTCAGCTAAGTATTCGAGGAGGCAGTTCAGATGCCTCTCTTTCTTAGAAACCTTCTCAGAGCTTTAAGCCTTGATGAGTGGCCCTTCTAAGTACTTGTCAAGTTTCAGGTACATCCTTATATCATGATATGCATTGTATCCTATTATAATTGTTTGGCTACCAATTTTTTTTTTCTCCTAGAATCTAAGGTTTGTGATCATGGGCAAGGACTCATTATGCCCTATTCTTTGTTGTAGCCTCCATACCAAGACAAAGATTGATAGAAGGTGCTTGCATTGGATAATTTTTCTCAACTCTCCAGAATCACTGTCCATAGTTCTCTACCTTGCTCTGTGCTTCTGCGAAGCTGACCTCTGTTGGCCCCTTGTCCACTGACTTCTGGCTGGGTTTATCTGATGGGAAAAGAACAGAGTGTAGGGGAGAAGATAGAGCAGACTAGTCTCCAAGCGTCCTCTCTGACAAACCTTAGCTTGGTAGTAGTTGCTGTCCTGTGCCATTGGGTGTTCCCTTCTCACAGGTATAGCTCTCACAAGGATCCTGTGAATGCTCCCTGACCTTGTTCTTTTAATCCCAGGTGTAGTAATAACAGCTTTCAGAACTTGCTAGAAACTAGGTCTTCACCATCCTGTTTTGGTCCCTTTCACATTGCCCACACTTCATAGTTCTTTCATTAGATATTCACTATAAATCCTAGCTTCCCATTTCTTGCTGAGACCCTGATTCCCTGATTTCCTGCTCAAAAAATATTGGTTAATTTTGACCTTCACCATAACCTATACCTTAAGTGAATTTTAAATCCCTGAATTTTCTCCACTGTTTTCATTCAACATAATTCAGGTTCTAATGTGGTTTTTTTGAGTTTCAAATGACTCCAAACACTATATTCCTTTGAACCTCATTCCCACCTTCCTTCATTCACTCATTCATTCAGCAGAAACTTTTTGACAACTCACTAAGGACCAGGAACTGTGCTGCCCTGCAGTCACAGAGAAGGAAAATATAGTCAGTCCCCCAAGGAACTCACATTCAAGTGAGAGATATAATCAAATAACTAAGTCTAATTCAAAGTGATACTTTGAGCAATGGAGAGATATGCAAAGGCCAGAAGGCACAGAGCTCTAGCCACCCCACTCCTGGCTGGGGTCAGAAGACAACAATACAACAGGACCCACCTTCCCACAAATGAACCCTCTCAGGATGCCAGACTCTGTGCTAAGCACTGCACATACTTATCTAATACAGCAACACTATAAAGCAAAAGCAAATGTTACCATATGCATTTTACACAGAAGGAAACTGAGGCCAAAGGAGGCTAAGTAACCTGCTGGTAGGTGACAGAGCCCCTCTTTTAACCATTATGTATCCTGTATCGTAAATGTAACACACACACACACACACACACAAGACTGAGGTGTGGGGAAAAGTAATTTTCTCCAAGGCTGAAAGAGCTCTTTGCCACGGATGTTCACCTTAAAGCCACAATACTTCAGGAAGAGATGAAAAACTAGCTCTTTTCTGAGTCTTCTAATTGTTGAATAGGAAATGTGGTGTCGGGAGGCCAGGAAGCTGTCATCACCATTCTTCATTACACTAATTGCTCTTAGATGAAATATGGTTTGTTTCCCCTTTTACTCCTGCTCATATTCATAGCTCTGCTACTTTGGAATATTCTCTCTTTGGGTCAAGGAAGGCTTTCTCCTTTTTTCATTATACAGAGGGTACAACTGAAGCCCAGGGCAGGTGACGTCTCACCTGGATCCCACAGCCAGTGGGTAACCCAGTGTCCCAGTGACTAACTTCTTTGGCCAGGATACCCCAATATCTGCCCTTTGCCCCAGCCAGGCCCATCTACTCACAGTTGCTTATACAAGCATTTCTCACTAAAACTGCTGTATTTTTTTTTCACAGCTTCTTCCCGTCCCAGCACAGGCTCTTCCTCTCACCTTTCTGAATACATCTAACCCTGTACAATCACTCTAGCTCCTCCTGACCTCTCTCCCTTTTTACTCACCCTATACTGTCCTTCACCAAAGATTGGCAACACTATTACACTTTGCTACCTGGTTATGCATGTGGATTGCACTTGACAGCTGTAGCAGATGCCAGCCCACTCAGACCTGAATCACCTACTTTGAATATATTCCCATAGCACACAATGTACTTCTGAGGCCACAGGAGAAATATTTCATGATTAAAGTCTCTACAGTCAGTATGCTAAAGGCATCCCTTTTCTGCATGTTTTCAGGCAGAGATGCTAACTTCTACGTCTAATGATATGCTATTGACTCAGTACCCACACTGGAAAGTCTCACATTCTCTCAGCCTCACCTCTTATTCCAGCTGCCTCTGTAGCAGCCAGCCCTGCACAGGCTGCCCCAGCTTCCTTCTGGGGCAATCTGACAGCACCTCACCTCTAATCATGCCATACTTCTGTTGCTGTCTTCCCCTGGGGCTCTGAGATGCCAAGGCATAGGACCATGCTTAAAACTCATCATTGCCAAAGAAATGTGCAGAGGAGTTAATAAGCCTAGAATCAGCTTGCCCAGCAGGAATGGTAAGCCTATAGGTAAATGCTTTCCTCTTTTCCTCAGGACAGACAGTTCTGAGGCCTTCAGAGGCTCCTGAAGGACTGAACACATGTTGCCACTGCAGTGGCCAAGGCCGTGGCTTTCCCTTCTTCCCTATTTCACTCTGGTCTTCAATCCCATTTCCTGCCAGGGATCTCATCCTAGGTTATGCTTTCTGGGAAACCAGGCTAAAATAGTGCATTCATCTGGTTGAGCTGCCATAAGAATATACCATACCTTGGGTGGTTTAAACAAGAGAAATTTATTTCTCACAGTTCTGGAGGCCATAAAGTCCAAGATCAAGGTGCAAAGTTTCAAGTTTCTGATGAGGGTTCTCTTCTTGGCCCTCATATGGTGTGTCACCTTCTTGCTGTGTCCTCATGTGGCCACTGATCCTATCTAGGACCCTACCTTTAAGACTCCATTAAATGTAATTAACTCTTCAAAGCCTTATCTCCAAATACAATCATGAAATTTAGAGGTTTGGGGCTTCAACATATGAACTGGGGGAGGAGGATGCAATTCAGTCTAGGGCAGACACTGTTAACTCAGAAATGTTGGTTTGATCTTAGCCAATAAGCATCCGAGAAAGGTCCTTCAAGATCCCTTCTTCTTCTTTTCTTCTTCTTCTTCTTCTTCTTCTTCTTCTTCTTCTTCTTCTTCTTTCTTCTTCTTCTTTCTTTTTCTTCTTCTTCTTCTTCTTCCTCTTCTTCTTCTTCTTCTTCTTCTTCTTCTTCTTCTTCTTCTTCTTCTTCTTCTTCTTCTTCTTCTTCTTCTTCCTCTCCTTCTCCTTCTCCTTCTCCTTCTCCTCCTTCTCCTCCTCCTCCTCCTCCTCCTCCTCCTCCTCCTCCTCCTCCTCCTCCTCCTCCCCTCCCCTCCCCTCCCCTCCTCTTCCCCCTCCTCCTCCTTCTCCTCCTCCTCCTCCTCCTTCTTCTTCTTCTTCTTCCTCTTCTTCTTCTTTAAGCTCCCTTCCCCCCTCTCATGTCTTAATGACTATTTAGAAAAGGTCTTATGTTAGCTTGTTCTCATGAATATTAAATGTTTCTAGTGTTCTGCTGGTGATTTGGGGGAAATTGGAGGGGAGACAAACCATGAGAGACTGTGGACTCTGAGAAACAAACTGAGGGTTTTGGAGGGGAGCGGGGGGGTGAGTCTGGTGATGGGTATTATGGAGGGCACATATTACATGGAACGCTGGGTGTGGTGCAAAAACAATGAATGCTGGAACACTGAAAACGTATAAAATAAAATAAAAAGTGGGGGAGACTACAGTTAGAAGAACTACATTCTAGTCTTTTCCTACTTAACTTGTTTCCTACTTAACTTGAGTAAGTTTTACTAGACCTAGAACAAATGATTTTGCCTTTCCCCACCGCTTTTCTCAGCTATTAAGTGGGATAACAGCTGTAATGTAGGTTAACCCAGCTATTTTGCTGGGTTAGGGGGATCCCAGGAGATGGAAAGTGGGGAGACGGCATTTAAAAAAGAAAAGGAGCTCAACTAATGTTAGAACGTTCGGGTACTTTGAGGGAGGATCCTGGTGCACCCCACGAATCTCCATGGTCCACATTCCAGAGGAGGGGAGGTCCAGAGTACTCCCAAAGCCCCTGGGTTCAGAGAGTAGCTTGGTTTGCTCTAGACTGCTTTGCGCCAACCCTGCAGTGTTTACCAGAATCCGGGTGGTTTGCGAACCCGGATGTCAGACTTCTGTTCCAGAGATTCTCAACTTGCTCACCCCCAACTCCTCTCGGCCTCCCCCAGGAAGGAGAGAGGGGACAGGAAGCGGGAGGAGCTTACAACGGGCAACTCCGCTCACCCCTCCTCTCTCCCCACCCCAAAGGCAGGAGTTTCTGGGACAGGCTGATGGTCCACCGCCTCTTCCTCCTCCTTCTCCAAGCTGGAGTGAGTAGGGCGGGGAAAAAACTCCGCAACTTAACTGTCTCCAGCCCAGAGCCCCGAGTGTCCGCACACTGTGGCGACAGGGACGACAGAGTGGGCCTGCAGGAGGCTGGGGTGGCGAGTTCCCGGGAGGCGTGGATCACCGAGCGGGCTGCGGTCCCGCCTCCAGCGCCGCGGCCCCGCGCTCGAGCTTTGGCGTTGGCTCCCCGCGACCATCACCCTGGGCGCCCGGCGAGTCCAGTGGTTAGCGATGCTGTTGCTGAGGTCGCTATCTCTGCTGCTTCTGCTGGGGGCGCCACGGAGCTTCGCCGAGGGCGCGGTGACCGCGCTTACCCGCGAGTCGGTCCCGTGGCAGGGTGAGTGTCCCCTGAGCCAAAGAGATCAGACCCGCAGAGCGGGGACGGGGGTGGTTATGGCAGAGAAGGAAGGGGCAAAACTGGGGGCAGGAAGGGGTGAGCAGCTAAGGCGACCGTATTTATATGGTGGCTGCGTTTCGTTAGTCCCGAGAAGGCCGGCGGATGGGCCAGTCCTGCACCCGGAATGGCATTGCATCCCACTCTTCCTGGTCCGCATCCTCCTCCTCCAGCCCCGCAACCGGCCGGGCCTGGGCTTGAAGGCAAAACTGGACTAAGCTCTGGCCCGGGACCATTTCAAAATGACATTTCAAAATGATCGTTTCTCAGATAAATAATGGCAAAAAAGATGTCCCATTTTGTCCGCTCCCAAAGCAAACCTGGATGTGTGCCGTCACTTGCCCAGTGGCCCTGAGCCAGGTTTCCATCCCTCTGCTCCTTCAGGAAAGAACACCTAATCTTTTCTGTTAATACCTTGCAGACCAAATGGGGGCGTGGAGCCTCTGTAGGCCATGAACTGTGCAAACTGAAGCCAATCACCTTCTGCCTCTCACTTTCTCTCATAAGACAAGTGGGGTGTGGTATATCCAGAGGCCCACCGAGGAGTAAACGAGATCGTTCCATGCCATCCATCTGGCATGCCTGTGAGCTAGAGTTCCTTCAAAGTCACCCCCACAGCCCACGTGCACACCTGGATCAAGTCACCAAACAGTTATGCAGCACCCAGTACCCAGAAGACTCATGAAAGCTCTGTAGTCATGAGGGGAGGGTATCCTGCAGGGTCCCACAGCTGAGAATGACTACCTGCATGGTTGCCTCCAAGGCAGAGAGGCCAGTGTCCCAAACTGGAAGCCTCTCTGCGAAAGGAGGAGGGAGGCAGGGGTAAATAAACCAGCAGGAGTCTCCAAGCAGCCTCTGTCCTCCTCCACCTTTGGGAATGAGTTTTGAAAGAACAGCTAAAACAAGGTGTGATCCATGCCTGAGTTCATTGTTCGTTCTTTCTTTCTTTCTTTCTTTCTTCTTTTTTTTTTTTTTCTTTTCAATATACTCTGCCTACAATTTTGAGGTAATCTTTTCTGGACTGTATTCCCTAGCACTCCCACAAGGCTTTATCAGGGACAGGTTGAGTAATTCCCACTCTAAAATGGCCAAAGATCAAAGACCTCTTAACCTTCTTGGTAAATTCAATGAAGATGGTCCTGTGGGGACACCTGAGTGTCACAGTCAGTTAAGCATCTGCCTTCAGCTCAGGTCGTGATCCCAGGGTTCTGGGATAGAGCCCCATATGGGGCTATCCCCTGCTCAGAGGGGAGCCTGCTTCTCCCTCTCCCTCTGTCTGTTGCTCCCCTTGCTTGTGCTCTCCCTCTCTCTCTCTGTCAAATAAATAAATAAAATCTTGAGAGAAAGAAAGAAAGGGAACGAAAAGAAAAGAAAAAAAGGAAAGGAAGGGAAGGAAGAGAAAGGGAAAAAAAGGAAAAAAAAGGAAAGGATAGGAAAGGAGGGTTCTTGTGGATGTACATCTGACCCCCTGGTAGGATCCATCTCCACTAAGAGTTTACCATACAGTGCTTACTCCTTTATATTTTAAAATGTGCCTGAGCACTAGGCATCTAGAACAGGGCAGCAGTCTGTAGGACAGAAGCTGCACCCAAGCCACACAGAGAAAATGCACCAGTGAGCCTCTGAGCCAGAGTTAGCACTAATGAGCTAATCCTTAATATATGTAGCAGCAGACCCAAATCCTGGCCTGAGATAGTTTCTAATCAGTGCCTTCATCTTAGTGGTAAAGGACAAACAATCTGCTACCTCCTGTACATTCCAAGTGACAGTTTGCAAATCTGAAAATCTGGCATAGTTGGCAGAGAGATTAGTCAGGTATGAAAATGGTGTTACTGGTATTCCCTGAAAGTGTGGCATTGGAGACTGTGTGACATTGAATGTGCCAGTTCTTGCACAGGCTCCCCTCCCTGACTTCGATCACCCACATCAGTAAAAATTTTAAGTATAATCTAGATGGGTTTCTAGTATAATCTAGAAATTAGGTTTTTCCTGTCTATACCAAGATGGAAAAAAATAAATCTTAGCATTGGAAGGGACCTGAGACAGCCATCATCTGAGTTGTTTCATCTGTATTATTGATTGAATTGATATGAATTATAAGCATCCCAGTCTTGGGAGGCAGCTGATGGATGCTATTGTGCTGACTTTTCATTTACCAATAATTTTTGTGTCCAAAAGTCTATATGTGTCATATAGTGTCATATAATAGTGTGTCATATAATAGTCAAGTTCATGGTCTCTGAGCCAGACACTATGGGTCCAAATCCTGTCTCTACCATGTACCAGCAATGTCACCTTGGACAAGTTACTTCACCTCTCTGTGCCTTAGTTTCTTCATATATAAAAATGGGGGGAATAATTGTACTTCCTCAAGTGTTGTCCTTTCATTTCAGTATCCTCACAGCACCATCTTTCTCTGGCCCGTCCAGACCATTCTGACAGGTTGACAGTCCTTTACCAATCATATACTGTCCTGTGCACAGCACTGTACTTGGCACGTCTTCAGCTTGTATCCCACCCTAGTGGGCTATCACACAGGCCTCACTGTGATTCTGGAAACTGAGCTCTTCTAGAAAATGCTGCAACTTGGTAACTTCACTCACTTAAGGATGCCAACACTGGGAGGGCAAGTGAGAGAATGAAGATGGGAGTGGACACTCTGGGGAAAGGTGGACATAGTCTCAGTAGTAGTTGTTAAAGGAAATGATCGGGGACAATAAAAGAATTTTAAAGCTGTACTGAGAGCTGAAAATGATGTGAAATGGCCTCAACCAGCCAATAATAGGAGACTTTCCTCAGGAGTACTTATCTCCCCAGGAGCAGGACTGGAGGGAGACTGGGGCTGTCTTAGTCCTTCAAGACAGTCAAGGTAGGCGTTTCTGAATGACCAGTGACCAAGGAGGTTGGGGTGCTGATAAGCTGATAAGGTAAATGTGCATGACCATGGAGACTGTCTAGAAGAAGACTGAACTGGGGTAAAGGGGTAGGGTCATCTCTTGAAATCCTGTGCCAACAGGAAGAGAGGTGAGGAGCTGAAGGCTTCAGCTGTTCATTCACTATCTGTTGAGTACTGTGTGCCTTGTCTCCCTTCTTAGATTGGATTCACCCACAAGTAATCCCTGAGACATGTATTTATTTCGATGCAAGTAGTTTGTTTGGGAGGTGATTGTAGAAGACACAATGAAGGAGTGAGGAAATGAGACAGGGAAGGGGCTCAGTTTCACAGGAGCCCTTCTCAGTGACTGTGGAGAACACAGTGGACCCACTGAGGGCAGGAAACAGAGGTATTCACCCACCAACTCCCATTCCTCCCTAATGCAGGGTCCCTCCTGGGGCACTAATCTTCTGGTCTCTGGCCTGCATGGAACACTGTCAGGCAAGAAGACACAGAGAATCAGTCAGAAAATACGAGAACTCTCTCAGGTAAATGACCTCCAGGGTAGACGGTATGGATAACCAATGGAATCTGCTACTCACTCCCAGATTAGGGAGATAAAAATATGAGCAGGAGATGTCCTCAAGAGGCTGAGAGTCCAGAAACAGATACAGAAACACAAAAAATTACAAAACAGTGCAGAAGATGTTACGATAACAGGGAATGAGCAAAGTTCTTAAGTAGGGACTTAAGTACAGACTGGCCTGAGGGGCTGCGGACTACAAAAGGGCATTTATTTTCCCAAAAGATAAGTAGGTAGTTGCCACACAGGCAACTTTCCTCCAGAAAGAACAGAATGTGTGCAAAGGCACAGAATCATGTATTGGGTAGTCTGAAAGTTCTAGTCTAAGCTCTTTTGGATGGAAGAAAGAGGTCCCATGGAAGGTCACTCAGGCAAGCACTAGACTGGGTATAAGGGCATTAAGATCTGAAGGGGGAGCCAAGGACAGGCTCTCCTGTGTGGCCACGCCTCCTGGGAACTGAGAACTGGCCACTGGGACTGCTTGCTAGTCCCTATTTTGTTCTCTTTCTGTGGACTGGTTTCTTTTGCTTCAACTTGCAGGATCTTTCATGTGTAGCTCCCACAACTTCCTTGGAGGAGTTGCCTAATTTCTTAAGAGAGGAATCTGGCCACATTTGTCATAGCATGCTGGCCAGTCCCTGCACTCTGCCTTTGAATTAAAGGCCTTCCCGTGGCTGGTAGGCTGTGATTGTGGTGTGAAATACATACATGGATCTGCTCCATCAGAGGCTGTGATGGAGTAGATCCCCAGAATAGGGTTGTGGCAGGACAAGAAGTTGTGACAGATCTATATTTGGATGCGTGCAAGAGATGAGGAAATGAAGAGTTTGGTTAGAGGAACTCTGCTTAAGGAAAGTAAATTCAGGTGGTATGAATTGAGTATTGCTGAGAAGAAACTCATGAGTTCAGACAAAAGGGAACCAGAACACACTTTTAAGTTTAGGAATGCCATGGCCGGTTTGGGACTTGAAGAGGGTAGTTATGGAAGGCAGCAAAGAGCCCATGTGAGAGGTTAAATCGACTGCTCATGAAGAAAGACACTGATGCCCTGAGCTAAGTCAGTCATAGCAGGAATACTGAGAAGCAGAAGGTTTGGACTCAAGAAATATGGGTTAAAAAAGAAGAAAATTAAAAATAATAAACAGAGACATGGGAGAAATGGCAGAACAGAAGGGGCAGTGGTTATACAATAGAAATAATAATAGAAATAGAAATAGAAAATATAGAAATATTAGAAAATAATAGAAAATAGAAATAGTTTTGGAGGTGGATCCTTTCTTGGCAGTGATCAGGTAGAAGGTGTGGTTGTGGGCATGGTCACTGAAGTGGGGGAACAGGTGGAAGAAGGTCCTTGGAGCAGAGGAAGTTGAGGAACCCAGCATCCACAGCAATACAGACATAACTTGTGTGAAACAAAAGTTTCATTTTAAAAATACCATTACCTCATGCGATGTGCTGCTACTCATCTACTCTGTTCCATTCTAC